ACTAGAGTCAATGTTTGTACAGTCAACAATATGCGAAGCAAACGCGGGCGACTCTTACCTGTCCCATCATGCCCATAAACGCCCATATCTTGAACGTCTTCAAGGGTACGCTGACAAGATACTCGTGGAAGAAAGCGCTAATAAAGAAGACAGTCACCGACGCCGTGGTTTTGCCGTAGCCCATCGCCACTATTGGAATATAGAGATGCCTGCAACATAAATGTATCGTCAATAAAAACACATTGTATCCGAGCGTAATACAATCGAATTTTCACTTGTGGATTCTGCTAAAAAAATAAAGCGCAAAAATATACACTTTTTAAATATTAAAACCACGTCAATTGTTTCCCTTGCGCCTGTTCTATGACGCTTTTATGAAAAGAAAAAATCGGTCACGTTCCGGCGGAATTGCACACTGACGCAATAGAAAAAGGCACCAAATGACCCGATCGATTCAAGATCCCGATTCTAATCGTGACGAACCCGATAGGAGTGTATTTAGAGCACGTTTGCCTTTACGCCGACAATGTCATTATCGGCGGTAACAAAGGGGCACGCGTTTCATTATGGTATCCACGTTCTCGGACGGCGCTGCGAAATACACGCGGGAGCCGATAAGGCAAACAGAACAAAAAGTACGATCGCACGGAGCCGCTCCCAAAAATTAAAGCAATATTCAGGAAAGTTTCACAACATTCCGGTTTGGTAACACTCTGCCGTTATCGTTTTCGTTTGTATGGCCGAGCAAGCAGAATCGGGCAACTCGGGAAAGAGTCGTTAGCCGCTTGGCTATCGGTGGAGACGCATCCGAAAGAGAGCAAGACGCGGAAGAACATTTCGAGAGGGAGAAGGAGAGGGGGGGAGGGAGGGAGGGAGGGAGAGAATGGAAAAGGGATATCTGAAGAAAGCAGCGGGAGGAAGAGAACATTCAAAGGTGGGACGACGACAGTTCTAAGGATTTCGGGCCGCGCACGTTTCGCCGCGTCCTCAGGATTCCTGCTCCCGCCAGATCCTCCGCATCGCGTCGTGCTTTCTTTTCCCTCAAGGAAAGCGTCTCCTTCGCGCAAGACGGTTCGGGAATATCTCCAGTTATAGAGGTATTATAAGTGCCGCGGGGAATAAACAGCCTTAAGTGCGCATCGCGATGCGTATCGGCTTTTCCCATTACAAACCTGAAAAGGCGCCGACGGTGGCCTCGGCGTTCTCGTCAACAACGACACACCTCCGTGCGTCTACGTCGTCCCTCCCGTCGTCTGGGGAGCATTTCCATTTTCACCTCGGCCACCATCCCCGCGCTGCGCGCATCGCCGCGCATACTACGGCTGCGTGCCAGTCGCGGCTTACAAATGCAGCTGCGTATCTCGGTCGTAGGGGGCGAAAAAAAAAAGAGAGGAGCGAGCGACCGTAAGCAGGCAGGTGCGTCGCCGGGGTAAAAAGGAGCGCGGACGCCGGGGTGAGACTTTGAAATTCGCGTCGCGGAAACTCGCGCGGCATCTCTTTAGCGAACTTTATTTTTCTCCATTTTTGTGTCATTTAAAAAGGGAGCATGGCCAGTCATTCCCGTGGTACGTGTCGCGTTTTATAAGGGTATGTTATAAGACAATCCCGCTCCCTGGCTACGCAGCGGTGGCTACCGTTCTACGTTACGTCACGTCTGTCGGAACTAACTCGGGTAACGCGGTCCTCTTTAGCGCGATAAAATTCAGTTTCTCCGTAGCAGCGAAATATCATTCGGGCTTAACCCCGATGCCGCGGGAATAAAAAAAATGTGGAGCGCTTAACGAACGTCTCAAAGTGTCCCGTCGCGAGATACGTAATATCCCACGCGAGAAGGAGTAGATTGACTCTTTATACGACATTCATGGTAAACCTCGTGCAGTTTGTACGTGGCAATTCCGACGGCTCCCTTTTCTCTCGGTCACATAATAAGAACTTCGTACGGCCACTTTTACAGGGATTTAAACTTTCTTTTGGGCTACTTTCGAAGTACAAAGAGCCGGGCGCGAGCTCTTGAAAGGAGGTCGTCACTATGGGCTCGAGTTGTTAGGTGCACGTGCGATGGGTAACCGTGGAAGATGGAAGGCCCGCCGGAAAAGTCTTTCGGAAGTTCGCTGATTGTATTGAGCGGGAGATGTATAATCTAATGTGGCGGCGACAGCCGAGACGTATGGGTTGAAGGGGACATTTTAGGCGAAATAAAAGGTTTCCGCAAGAAAGCTCGTTCTTGTAAGACGAAAGACTCTGTCTCTCGTGTGTAACGTTTCGCACAATAATATTTCCGATACATGTGACTGTACGAAAATTTCTACACATATAAACTGCGAGCCGCTCTCGCAATGCCGACAAGTTTATCGAGTTGATACAATTTTTGTAATTTCACCAAGAAAGTTGATTGTACGAAAGTACACTAGACCAGCAACCAGCACCGTGACATTACTTTCCTCGTTTGTCCGATGTTCGCGTGTAATTGGTAAGGCATGTCGGCGTTGCCGAGAAGATGATACACGAATGTCTCACGATGAAACGACAGTCATAGTTGCGAAATAACCTCGGCGAGGCGCGTGTTGCATTATTATATAATCACATTATCCCTACAGCCGAGTCAAAGGTGCAAAGTAAAACGCAAGGAGAGTTTTTCCTTCTGTGGCGCGGGAGGTGCGCGACAAGCTGAGTATTACGGGGCGGAGAGACAGCGAGGGCAAATAGCATAAGGGAGCGGTGTCTGAGAAAAAGAGGGAGGAAGAGGTAAAGACGAGCGAAGACGTGGAAGAGATGAGGCCGCCGCTACAGGCTGGACCTTTGATCGACTTTCTCTGTTCGATCTAACCGAGGTTAAACTTCGTTAACAAGTATGCTGCTCTTTAAGAAGATTCAATTACATTTTTCGCGAAAATAACGATAATGAGATCTAACGTTCCATCTGCGCAAAAGAGAGCAGCTTCCGCGCGTCAGGAATATCTCGCCACATGCATTTTACGCGCATCTCATCACTTCGCGATTGATTGTGTTAAACGACGTTTTATACATTGCCGTAGCTACTATTTTACTATTTCTTCTTATTTATTTCTTAATAGCTCATATCAAGTTGCCGCGACAACAAATCGCTTAATTATATGTTAAAAGTATGATCGCATTGTCGTTCCTAAAAATGGCACTGACGATGGATATTTTCCAGCTAATGATAACTAATGCTCTCGATAAAGAATATATTTGTGATTCAATTATCGACATTTTAAGAATAACCAACTCGAGATATAAGCAAATAAAGTTTGAGAACTTTTATCGTTCAATTTTCTCGGAAAGCTAAACACGTAATATATACCGGACAATTGGAAAATTATTTTAATCAATTTTATAAAAATCGAAATGAAAAAGCTTCCGTTATCAAGTACTGCTATGAATAGAAATCGATTTACTCACCGCACAGCCCAGCGATGCACTGGCATGTTCCAAGTTCTCCAGAACGTATCGATATTGTTGGCGTTCCACCAGTCGCAGTAAAAATTCCGATCTGCAAAGTGTAGCAGCTCGCCCAGCAGATTCAAAAAGGAGTGAAATATCAAGTAGAAGAAGCAAAGCCATACCAAATGATTTGGTATCTGAAACAGTAAAAATTCAGCGTGTAAGTGGATGAAATCATAAAAATTGTACCGATGTCATTCATAATAAAATGAAGAAGAAAACATTCTTGCTACGAACAATTAATCCGCGTGTCAAGAATAGAAACGCATTAGTCTGTTTAATATAAACCAATTATTTCGTCAATATTTTACGAGTTCGCGATATCAATTCTTCCTTTTCAAAAAGAAAACGTTTCAAACGCCTAATATTAGAAAATATCGATTTTTAATGTAATCTCTCTCTCTCTCTCTCTCTCTCTCTCTCTCTCTCTCTCTCTCTCTCTCTCTCTCTCATATGATAAATTTAATATAAGAATATATTAAGAACGTGATTCCACTTCAGTATTAGATTCATACAAATATTCGCACTTTTAATTCCACAGTACAGTATAGTTTCCATCGCACTGATCGAAGATTGATATAATAATTTGGACCTTTTTATTTTTATGTTCTACAGCACAGAGAGATAATAACGAAATATACAATATTATTCTATTGGAGATTTTTAAATAATACATTTTCAATATTTCTTATAATCATAAGTTTTTCCAATTAAACGTTACAAGGTACCAAATACGTTAACAAAGTAAGAGAGAGAGACTTTTCTACGAGATATTTAAATACTAAAAATTACTTAAAAATTGAAAATAAATCTGTTGAGAAATAAAGCAGTAGTATACAATTTTATATTTTTGCATGCTTTATCACTGTTGTGAAAAATTATTTTCCATAAAATTTGCGAACGAGAAACACGCGTAAGAGCAGTAAGGTGCGTCCGAAATGCAAACGGCAAGAAGGTAGAGCCGTGATTATGAAAAAGTAAAAAATTGATCAAAGCTTTCTCACAGGCCCACAGACATGTGTACACGTACATATGCAACGTATCATATTCTTAATGGACTGAATAAAATGCGACGCCCCATAATGACGCCGGAGAAGTTAACTAAAACGAGGATAATCAGGAGCGCGGAGACGAGCGTATTACAGTATTATTTACGCATCTGCAGATGAAAGTGAGGCGACTGTATAATGAACTTATAAATTATCCCGTCTGTTCCTTTAATTATGCTTTAATGGAAGTGACTTAGACCGAGCCTTTGATCATTTATCGCGCATATAATATGATGCTACGCTAAAAGTCCTTATTTTATTGCGCAGCTATATTTTCTTCATATTCTTCCAAATTCGATACTGTTGAAGCACGAGAGAAAAAACAATATGTCGTGACTTCGGCGCGCTACGTGTAGGTATATTATTATCGTTTCATTCTTTGCGTTCTTTTGTCTTTTACCATAGCTTTAAGATTGATTATTTTTCTTTGTCGCGACATTCACGTCTCTCGTGGCACAACGACAACCGAAATAAATGTTTTCGCATCAAAGAAGTAGCGACGAGAAGAAAAAGGAAGGGAAAAAACCCGAGACCCTAGTATCAGACAGATACTTTCGCGAAAATTTCTCGACGGACCGCTTGCTTTTATGGCGAAGAATTTCGAAGTTATTTCGTTTCGGATGCCATTTCGGGCCCGCCGAGTCGCGGTATCATCCCGCGTGCTTCCCCCGAGCTCTCCCACGCGAGGCAAAGGACTTAATAATGTTGCCAGGCACAAAGGTCAAGTCTCTTGTGCCGCGAGGCATTCGTGGCACTTTCGCGAAAAGAGGACAGACAGCCCCCTCAGTACTTCCTCCCGGTTACTAGCAGCCTCTTCCGGCGTCCACATAGTCCGGGAAAACTTACCTCAACGTTTTAATTTCGTTTACTCGGGGATGCTACCGAGGGTGAGGGAAGAACACAGAGACTTGGAATCCACGGAAGAGGGGAGAGAAGATGGTGGGGCTATAGGAGCAGAAGCCAGTGAATCGTTTGAGACACGTCGACGATACCACAAAGGGAAAAGCGGTAAACTTTATGCTGCTTTTTTTTGACCAGAGGCTATCTAAGAAGGAACCGCTTTTTCTTTAAGCAGTCGTAAGAGAGATGCAAAAACTTGCGGACCAAAAAAGATACGTATGTACATGGCGTTTAGTCGATAGTAGGAAAGCGGAAAAATGTTGATTTCCCATGATGTTTCCTCTTTCAAATTCTCCTTTGTACGTCTTCAAATTCCGGGAACGTTACCTCTCTTGGCGACCCCCTTGAATTTACATACAATAATTATATATTTTAGTAATGAATCTTTGGACTCTTAAATCTTTTGAAATCTTTTGAAATCTTTTGAGAGAGAACGAAATAGCACAAAATAGACACCCTGTAATCAGAGACTCGCCATAAGAGTTCGTCAAATTTCCGCGAGTGAAAGATTCTACGATCGTAGAAGAGTGAGATGGCCTATGTTTCTCTCTCACTCGCAGGAATTTGACGAACTCTCATGGCCAGTCTCTGATCACAGGGTCTACTGGCACAAAACGGAGTCTGTCCTTTTCTACGTGAACCTCTCCCCCCCCCCCACTCAATGCTCGGTCTAGATATATTATGTCTATGATGACTCCCCTCCCCGCACTGAAATTAGAAATCTTATTGCGAAAAATATTGCCTCAGCCAGGATTCGAACCTGGGACCTCCCTCGATTCGTGGCGGACGTCTTAATCAACTCGACCACTGAGACTGTGATAATATTCAACAGCAACTTATTGACGCCAGTCGAAAAATTAAGAAATAAGATACGTGTGGAAACGACCTTACTGGTACTGCTTTATTATATTATTGTATAAATTCACAACGTTCCGGCCAGGTTTCTCTTCAGGTAACGAACTTACATAAATACCTGCAAATGTAAGATACGTCAAAGTTAAAGATGTAAAAAGTATGTCAAACGTCAGAGATTTCTTTGTGCATGTCTAGTCATCGGCGTTAGAACACAGAAATCTATTTTGTGCTTATGTAAGTTCGTTACCTGAAGAGGACCAGTATTACTGGACCGAAACGTTGCCAATTTATAATATAATAAAGAAGTGCCAGTAAAGTCGTTTCCACATTTCATTTCTGTGATAATATTGTTCGCAATAATTGGTATAATATTTCAAGGAACGCTGTGCCGGCCGCGTATGTATAAACAAAAAGCTGTTGAACCTTTTGGAATCAAAACTTGGCCATGCATTATTCAAATGCAAATGTGTAGTCGTCGTAATCTGTCTCTTTCCCTTTTAAATGTACTCTCTCTCTCTCTCTTGGGTTAATTCTATACAGATTATTGATCAATGCAGATATTCAAGGAAGAAATATAATACTGAAACCACAGCAAAGAGTCCTATAAAATATCATCCACGAGTCGCACGAACGGGCGAACGTTCATTCATATTGATGCGCGCGGCTCAAACATCGATCCCCGTGCAAGAAACCAGCAATACCATTCGATTCGTGCTTGATCCCATCGCCGGCCGCATAACATTAATGCGTGCTTGGCTTATATGCACTATCCGGCAGTCGATTTTCATCGATAATGCGAGAATATCGTATTACGAGGCGCGGCAGACGATCCGCGTGATTTTCTACATACGCGCAGTACAGTTCGACGTATTCGCGTCATTAGTAGTCGTTGCGGGGGAAAAAAAGTACAAGGGTAAGTCGACCTGCCTAAGCGCGTGCATCGCATTACGCTGGCAATCGATATTTTCCATTTTCTTCCCGATCGCTGACGTTACCTGCCCCTCAACTGCTATTCTCCATCCGTGTCCCGGGGGTGCATGACGTGTACCTGTCTATCGGAGACGTTTACGCTTACTAGGTCTGGAAGGACATTAACATGTGAAAGGTATAACCCAGTAATAACGGTCGGGATAGAGAATGCAAATGAGGGCGGATTGAATTTTTTAACCTTATCGAGAGTCAGCTATTGGCTTGCGAGCAGTAGAGTGGGGCTACATTTCACAAAGTATGCAAATGTTGAGTTATAATCGAAGTTGCTGCTCAAGATTGTTCGGAGAGAACTCACGAGGGTAGATGTTGATCAATCGCAAGCACTTAGCTACTTATATCTCATCAAAATCTATTTCAACAATAATAACACTAGTTTCTCGCTGCTCAAATTCAATTCTCCCATCGGAAGTAGCGCTTATTATATTTACCGATTCGCGAACATCTTTCACATCGTCGAGAATTACACGTCAAATTAGATTGTGCCCGTCGCTATATCGCAATCCTCGCGATCGATAGGTAAAAGCGACGGGATAATCGGCAATGACGGTACCATTATGTAGTCGTTTTAAACTTCGCGTGATTTTCAAAGTCAAAGAGATTTCGGAACGAGGCACCGACACGCGGGCGTGTGCGAGAGGCGAGTTCGCGGCTGAGAAAGGGAGGGAGCGTAAGAGAGAAAGGGCCTCATTGGCGAAGCGGACTGCGGGAAAATTGCGTTTTCCCATTACGACGAGATTAAAGTCCCGTCCCGCATTGCAGTTCCGCCCTGTTTCTTCCGGTGCCACCCTCGTACATAAGAACCGCAATTAACCCACGACGGTCACACGATTTCGGAGTCCACGATCCCTCGCGGCTATTTGCGGTGTAAACGAAAAGTAAGGGTGCGCGAAAGATCGACGGACTCGGTCCGACGATCGGCAAACAATTATTTTTCCTTCGCGCGCGCAAGGACAAATAAGAATGTCGCGGCTGTCGCAAATGAGCAACCCTTTGCCTCGCCCTGGCAAGGAAAGAAATCTTACTTCTACACGACCAAATTTATTTTGCCCTGAGGCCGGTTTGTGCCCGCGCGCGCGCTACCCCTCTCTCTATCGTACATTATTAAAGAACACGCCGGAGGCTTTTTTTCCTGTTTCAATAGCCGATGTTAGTATTGTTTCGAGACTTTCGTCTAATCCAAAAGAGTTCTAGGATAATCCTCCCTTTAAACACGACTTTCCTCTCTTGCGTTTAAATTTATCTTAACACTGTGTCTGACCTAGTATCCAAATTCGACTTGTTTTATTGACTTTAAATGCTGAGATATCACAGATAAGTGAATGAATCAACGAACGGAATCAAGTTATACACTAAAATAACGCTAGATAGATATCTATCTGCTACACTAAAATAACGTTATTTAACAAACACTTGCATAAGAAAAAAATAGTTTTCTGTAGCTTTTTTATTGCTGAATATAATCTCGTTTATCAAATTGCTCCGTCACAATTTTAAAAAGATTTGCAGTTTAGATTGCAGGGAGGACTATTTTAGGGTATTTTAACGTTTGGCAGTATAATTACGGTATGTGACGTGATGGAGAAATTTTATTACAATTAAAAGATTAAGTATGCTATTAGGACTTTCAGCCATTAAAATTTGTTGCGTCGATTACAATTAAAAAGATATTGCTGATTAACAGTCTGTTGCGATCCTTAATACACTGAGAGACCCATTTTGTTGAATGAAACAAATTTAGTTGACTCAACTGAATTTCTTGTTTGGATATGAGCAAACAAATCTTTTAGTTGATACAACAAAAAAATGTAGTTGAAAAATTTGATTATATCAATACAAATTTCGTTGAGAGAACATGAATCGCAGAATCCTTTTATAATATTCAACTAAACGATTTAATTCAGGCAACAAACTCAATTATTTAGGACGTGATGAGATGAACGAATTTGTCATCTCAACCATAAAATTTTGTTCAAATAAACTCATGAAAACAAAATATTTAGTTGTTGTAACATTTAACTTCTTTTCAGCAACATATTTTTCGTTTTATACAACCAAGTTACATGTTCAGTCAACAAAATGATTCAATCAAATTATTTCGTTTCATTCAACAAAATGAGTCTCTTAGTGCATAGCCTACGTAAGTCGAAATTGCGACTTAGACCATTAAGGATTTATAAAATAAATGTTTTAATTGTAATATGTTATTCAGAGGGTTTTTCGGAGAGGTAAACCGCTGACCAAAATAATGTACAGCAGCGCCTACTAATGCATTAAAATTCGACAGCATATGCTCAGTTGCAAACATTTTTTTGTTGATTAATGTAATAAACCATGTGTATGCCTGCAATCCAGTGTATCAAAATTGCGCGATTTAAGACTTTCGTAAATATAGTAAGCTTACATTTATTTTGCAATTAATTAGACAAGATTTTTCTCGGCTCGAACTAGATCTTGATAGCCTAATAATTCTGTGCAAAATTTGTATATTAATTTTTTCATTCAGTGAACTGCGCGTCAATCACATTTATCTGAAAACATAGTTTCGTTGGAACAATACATATACGCGTACTTAAATCGATAATCGATTTAACTTTTGACGCTAATAGGCACATTTATTTTACATCTGCAGTCGCGCGTCAAGGCGCCTCGGTGGAAAACACTGGCGGCGCGAGTCGACGAGCGAGCCAATAATTAACAGTGGGGCACAGTCGGATCAATTAACGTGGAGTGAACGAAAGTTCCATAGCAAAACTCGGTCATGCACGACCGTCAGTCTGCTGTTTTAATCGCGAGTAATCGACGTCTACCGAACGGCCGGGCGCAACGGGCTACTTCGCCGCGCGCCGCTCCCGAGGACAGTCGCTTTGGGACGAATTTATATAATTGAATTCGGTTCACTGGACTCCGCCCAGCACTCGAAACACTACGGCCGGCTAGTTCCGATCCGGAGCAGCCGGGCTAACGAGAGAATAACAAGCAACGGCGGACGAACGGACGCGGAATCGCTCGAGCCGGTCTGAATGTCGAAGAGTAGCGGAGCGTGTCGGCGCGCGCGGCGCAAGAAGAACACAAAAATAAAAAGACACGATGAGCGCTATGACGCTCGCATGGACAAACTATTGCATCGCGCATATTGGTTCAGTTTTTCATCTCTTTCCTTTTTTTTCTGTCTTTTTTTTTGCGTTCTCGATGTGCGGAGAAAGCAATGGAACGTCCTCTCAATTGCAAAAATTAGAAATACAAAGAAATACCTATACAGTGTGAATATCGAGAAAAATTAATCTTCTATAACGCTAATTTCAGCGGTTTATTTCCGACAGAGGATTTCCTGTCCAAGATTACCCCAAATTATCTTACAAGATTAAAACGGCGAGGAGAGAAGATCGAGTTGAGATTCAGCGAAGAAGCTATCGCTAAAAGCGAAAGTTCCACAGATTCTATAAAAATGCACAACCGATCGCGCCGAATAATTTATGTTCTCTTAGACAGATTTGCAGCTTTCGATATTCACTTTCCAGCAACTGCTTTTACAGCAGTAAAAAAAACAGGCGAATCGGAAGTATCGAAACAACATCTCCGGCATATCGTTGTGCATCGATCTCCCTGCGGACTTAGCGACAAACGACCTTTTTCCATCGTCGGGCGTGCATATTTCACTCGGAAGCGTCACGGGAATATAGCCGACGCACGACGAAACTTAAATCAGGAATTCATAGATTCCGGCGTACTTTCTGCAAGAGCCCCGAAGCTCTTACAGAATCTTCCCTGTGCCCCTACCAAGACTCGCTCTTCCTTAAAGAAACACAACATTCCTATTTCACGTTTCCGCGGATAGCTTATTTTATTTTCCGACGTGCAACAGATCCAACTTATCGTAAAGTAAAGAACTGTAACCGGGAGCATTGAAGCTATCTGTCTCGCGTGCATTCTGTTCTTTTAGACAAAAAGAAGGCACGAAGGAATACAAGTGAACGAACTGGCAAGGAAAATTTCTGGTACCGCGCCGACACGAACAGTTTAAGATTGCGTTAAATAGTCTTGAGGATTTTCAACATCCTCCGCGTTATCTGTTTGGAAATTCTATCTCGAGCATTCCGGATTATGTTCCTGGTGAACGTTCGCGCAAGAAAGTTCGCGTCGGCTTGCAAACTTACGCGCGGGATAGATTTACAACACGTTATATTAAGCGCAGCATTTATCGACGACACGTAGTTCGATGCAAGTTTTCTCTGTCTCGCGCTCTGTCGAACGAGCTCGTAGTCGTGGCAAAACTCAGGCGGAAACTGCGTTTTGTTGCGGGAGGGAAGAGATTGAATTCGCAAATATTGCCTCGAGACCTTCCTCGCGAGAGGCGTGCTGGGGAAAAAGGGCGAAGATCTAGCACGGAAAGTTGGAAGTATCTATCTACGCTGTTTTTCGTTTTTCCTTTTACAAGTAAGATATAAGCAGAATCGATACGACGAGAAACCGAAATTATCGGCAAGAAAAATTTCAACTTGGAGAATGAAATCTCTATGCGTCATTGTCGTCGTGTTATTTTTAGAAGGAGCACGATGTTAAACGAACTTTTAACGATTTTATGTAACGAATGCATTCACGAACGGAGTAATTCTACTCGCAGCGGTATTTATGTTAATCAAAATATAATTTGACACCTTTGAGGATGCCCTCATAGGTTTACCTCACGACAAAACTTTGAAATTGTTGACTCACAACCTATTTCGGACACACCCGGTACGAGCTTATAAATTTGCACGTGTAGATATATATATATATATTGTATATATGTACATACTCACCGCCAGCTTGAGAAGACGCTCGGAGGCCTTGGCTACGTCCATATTCTGCAACGCAAACGAGAGAGCACGAGATTATTAATGTAGAAGGTAAATACGTGGGAAACGTGCGGAGAAGGGGTGTGTTAAGAGAAAGAGGGGGCAGGAATGAGGCAGATATGCCCTAAAGCTGAACGCAAAACAAATGTGAGTTAGGAGGGCAGGTGTGAGAGGGCGAGGCGCGTTGCCGACTGCAAAATGTAACTTTCTAATTGGATTTAAGATTGTAAATACGATAAGATCGTCGAGGCTGAATTATTACACATATCGCATTCGAATTGCACAATTCGAAATTCCCAAGAAATATTCACGCACGAGCGCCGCAACGGCGAGCTTTTGAGCCGTGCGTTATGCAGTTAAATCGAATCAATAAATCATCAATTCTTTTGAATTGGAAGGATTCAGTATTTATACGTATCTCTATACAATGTGCTACGCTTTGCTGCAGCACAATTAAAGGTTTACTTACGGATGAACGCCCGCGCGAAATTAGATTAACGTCACTATCGAGGAAGCAAACCGCAAAATTTAATCCGCGTGTCGAAATGCGGTTACATGATATCGTTATTATTCCATTATTATTTGAGAACTATTTATATGAAGCCGATATTTTCAAGAACTGCATCAATCGAGAACGAGCTGTTTTTTTTTAAAGCTAACTCGATAATTCAGTCATTACATTTTAGACGCTTAATCCGATTATCAGACACGTTCAAAAATTGAATCTGAAATTAATGAATTCACGTCTCGCGCGGTATCGCTCATTTTAAAGCGCTTTTAAAGAGCATATGAAAAAAATCGATGTGACATTATCATTTAAAAAGTTGTTTAAACTTGTACATTATAACATACAAAATGACATATAGTTACTTGTTTGTGTACCGCTATACTATATACAATTCTAAAGATATGTTACTTTAAAGAAAAGATTTATTAACGAAAACTCCAATTTATTAACGTTTAACGGTGAATAGATAATCCGTCTATCCTCGAGCATATATCACTGGTGCCCAAATTGAGATGACATGTATTTATCGAAAACAGAGTTTCACGTATCGGACATAATTAAATTTAATATGCGAATCCAATTGAATAGTAGAATTAATGGACAACAAAGTTTAACGGAGATCCAGATGTTGTTAATTCACTTACGGCATATTATTAAATTAAACAACAAACTTTTAACTTAATTTAACAATAGCTCCTCCGTCGGCCGAAGACACCCGGACGCTTCCTTTCCCCGATATATGGATTTGCACCCAGTCTACGTCGAATGAGGAGCTTTCTGCTGATGGAATTGATATTTCGTGCACGGCGCTAATTGAACACGAGGGAAGGAAGCCGTCCCTCCGGCGTTTCCCTTAAGTGGCGGTTGTCGAGAGGTCCCTCCGAATGCTACAACAGCCAGCTAGCCGCGCTTGTGTACCAGGTTTGCAAATAAATACCTTCGGAGCTTCCCCGCGACTTCAACACATCATTACTATGCGTACATGCACGCGCCAATGGCCGCGTTCCTCCTTAAACAGCGGCATCTCTTTGTAAAGGGAACGTAAAGGGAAATCGCGAGTCTCGAAATATTTAATTTAGCAGATTATGCGCACCTTTAAACGTGGTTCAACGAATTCTCTTCAATGCACTTAAATGTAAATGGCAATATTGCGGTTACCTTTTTTTCACAAAACGTTATAGTTAGTATCTTTATTTACGTTCCTAAACGCAATTGTATTTTCAGTGCGTTGTGCAAGAATGAACGCTTGGAAATTAATTATATATTGGAAATAAATTAAAATTTATTTACTTAGTAATTTAAAAGTCGCGACAACGCATTTTACTTGCCAATTGACCAGTAAATAACGGATTCGATACGACAATGAAACACACGCAACTGGATCATGCTAATTGCAATTATCGTGACGTATTGCTGTTATTACAGTTAATATTCTGCAGCACACGCGTCGTGACAATATCATAATGTTAATTAAATTACTCGCGTTTGTCATTATTGCGACGGAATAAACGGAAAAACGGCAAAGGCGAAATATAGAGCGATACTATTATCTAGTGATCCGCAGGCTAATGTCATATGAAACGATTAACGTGTTGCATATTCTATCCGCCTGCGCACTCGGTGGATGATACACACAATTATTACGATGGTTTTGCCGTCACCAGCGGAAGCTTGAAAATTAATTGCGGCGAATTACCGGCTCGAGAGGACGCGATTCGAGCGAGCGGTGCTAAAGTTCAAGCACTATATCGTAAACAAACGCTTACGCCCCGAGGAAAATGATTTTTTTACGACAGCAACAAGTTGTCCCAACGAGGATTTCATGTTTCCTTAGCGCCAACTTTACAGCTCGGTTTAATGAGGCACGATACGTTACGCGGCCTGATAATTACGACCCGGGGCAAGTGGCGAGCTCGGCTTGCGCCGCGCGCATCTGCTATAAAACACGGCCCCTTCCTGCGTGTAATTGAACGATTAAAAGAAGCTTCTTAAGAGAACGGTAAGAAGGATTTAGAGGACGCGGAGGCGGGAGGAACAATCGTTAATGGAAAAAATCTACGGCGCCGTTATCAGCATATAAAATCGCTTGTGTAGGCGCTTCGGAAGAAGAAACGAGCTAGTTGTATCGTATCCTCGCGAAATCACGGCATCCCAAATGATTGCATTCCGAGCGGAGCTACGGAGGGTACTCGGTGGCTCGAGAGGGTCTTCGCGAATGAATAGCGGCGGTCGAGATGCAGACGAAAGAAGGGGAAAGTGAAGGGCATCCGAGGGATCGAAAATAAAAGCGGGGTAGATTTTCCTCCGGACGATCACGTCTGAAACGTCTAGCGTAGATATCCGAGCCGCAGTTCCCTCTTTTTCTCTTACACCAATTCCTCCGCGTTCTCTTTATCCATTCTGTTTCCGCTGCGCGTTTGTGCAGCGCGAGCGATCAAAGCATTGGTCTTCCAATCGAGAGTTGTAAAGGCGCGCGAGAAGAAAGTGCTTTTCAATCGTGCACTGTGATTCTTATACGTAAGGAACAATACTTATTTACATACATTTACGGATGTGCACATGATAATAAACTGAATACATCACAATCGCAAAAAAAAATGCTAATAACGTACACATGCAAGTGTTAATGAATAAGAGTTGACGAAGCACCGCGAGTTAAACGCGAGAAAATGTCTGCTAATATATTTAGCTGTGCAAAGTTGTGAAAAGCTATATAATGCACTGATGCGGTTCAGCAACTGTTCTTTTTCACAATACCATCTTCCTACGTCCCCTTTACCCGGCATCTTTATTCGATTACGACACAGTCGAGCGCTGTCATCCTTTTCGCAGCAAATCTGCGATCTTTCGACGAAACCTCAGGCTTCCCGCGGCGCTTCAACGAATATATACGTTGCGGAACTCCGGAATGCGGGAGAGAATTAAGAAAAAAAGAGGAAGAAGAAGAAATAAGCGCGCGGGAAGGAAAGGAAAAAGCGAGAAAAAATTTCCTCGCCGTCGTACTGTCGAGGAAACGAAGCGATTCGACCTCATCCGAACCCCTCAACGCCGCTGGTCGTTTTCTTCGCGCGTCGTCGTTTCAATTAGCGCCGAGAGATTTACGACTTTGCATCCGCGAACATCTTGTCCTGTCGCGGAGAGTCCTCGAGATACTAGAAATTCGCCCCAGACGGATTGAATCCCGACTGGCTGACAATGGCGTGGCGAATGGGAGGTACTTTGTGTATGACACCGCGTCACCCTTTGGCCGAAAGGCCGATCCTTCATCACGCGTGCAGATGCCTCGGTTGGACAACAGAGATTTTATAAGGTGACGCAAAGGGCGAGTGACGAGCAGTCGATAGGAGATTCGCGGGAGTTTTTCTAAGCCAGCGAGTTCCCCGCGAAAAAAAACCGCATGTGGTAACTAAATATTAGCTGTCCACATTTCACGACTGAAATTTGGTTGCCACGTGAAGTTTTTAGCTACGGCAGCTGCATTTCTCTTTCCGTGTAACTGAAATAATTGATTAAATTGAATCAAGATATTCGACCAAGCATTTACTTACGGACACCGAAACTTTTTCTCTTCAAAGAATAAAATTTTACGACCCTGGCCGAGGTAGTATTTTTCGCAATAAATTTCTTTAACTAGAATTTGCAAGTTGAGTCGTTTAACAAGAATTTCCTCCATTTGTTAATAAAATTTCGTAGTTGTTTTATTGCTTAATGTTAAATATGCCAGAATAACTATCGAGGGCGTAAAGACTAGTTTAACGCCGCGTTTTCAATAACGTCGAATAAATTTGCGTCGTGTCTCCATGTTACTACGCAAAGAGCCTGTTTTTTGGCGAATTAACGTCCGGAGTTATGCCTAGAAATTCAACTCAACTCCTTTCCGAAGAGGCAACCAAAATATTTACTTCGATCTGACAACTTCCAGAGTCGCACTTCCAGACTACGCTACTGGAGCGCAGCGGAAGACAAATAGGATTAAAAGGCACTCGACATGGTCTTAAGTATTTCGTGCCGGAGCGCCGGCAAAAAGAGGGTTCCATGGACAACTACCCTTCGCTGGTCTCCACTCACTAACGTCTTCTGCTACCAGTTAGCAGTCGAATAAATACCGTCTGCAGTTTCTCGCTTCCACCCCCTCCTTTTTCTGACGTGACAAACAGGCGGGCGGGGAAAAAAATAAAACAATAACCAGTTCGCGGGGGCCGCAGCGATTCTCGCGAAAATCCAAGACGACCGTGAGTCTCTTTCTCGCAAAGACCTCGGCTCCTCCTCCGCACCCTGTTTGATCACGAACGTTGGGAGATTGAAATATTTCTGCAAAATATTCCAAGTACAACTCGCGTCCGCTTTTCGCCGTCAGTTAAAAGTCGAAGAAATACCGTCCGAGATTCTTCGTCCCGACAAAGATACGCCGGCAATAAAACTTCGCCTCGCTTTTCGGTCTTTTAGCGAGCACGCTCCGCCGTCGTTATACGTTAAGCGGCCGATTGTAATAACGTCCAGC